TTTAAGCAATTATAAAAAAATATAAAAAAAAATATTCTAGCAGGTATATTTAGCTGCTAGACGGTTTAAGGGATAGTATATATATTCGTACTTGTTTAAGACATATTTCCAAATTAAGAACTGATTGTATACAGTCATATGCAGATGACCATCATGTACAAACTGAACTTTTTAATCCTCCTTTATTTATCATAAAGTTAACTATTTCATTATGCAAAGTTGTACCAGCCTGATGAGATACATGAAAATATATTACAAAAGATTGATATTGCTACAATACTTTTTTTTCAAATACAGTTTTGCAAATTATATCACTACAGATTAATTGAATATGATGTGCAATACATCAAACTAGTAATATTTTAGGATATTTATCCAAAATATATTTTTTAGCAAGTGACATTGCTGAAGCTCCATCAGATACAACTGCACTGAATTTATTAATACCAATATCTACTAAAACTTTCTCAATCTCATCAACTGTAAATATTGCAGTATGAGACTTACGGGAATAATCTTTAATTGAATATACATATTGCTTTTTATCAGATGTAATAATTATAAAAGCAAAATAAAAATATTCACGATTACTTGTCCAACTATCCAAGGCTAGTTATATATATATAATATAATAATAAAAATTAATATTAAAATAAATAAATAAATAATAAATAAATAAATAAATAAATATAAATACCTAATGTAAGATTCTCTTCATTTTGAAGCTCTTTTTTAATCATAATTGTAATATGTGTTGTTTCATAATTAAGCCAATTATTGCTCAAAGCTTTTCTATCAGGTGGCTTATATTAAATACATAAATTTTGACAAAAATCTAAAAAAAAGGACTTTCAACAATCCAAAAAAGAATTCTGCAACATACAAAAAATCAAGTTAATGCTTTATAGCATAATTGTTCTTGTCCAGGATCCATTGTGAAATTTACTATCAACCTGTGGTTGTAAACCACTAGCAATATCATGTTCGATCTTTTTTCTTTTATTTGGTGCTAGAAAATTTTGTAAACAATCTTGCTTGACATTAAGTGGAACTTTTTGACAAGTTAAAGCTAAATGTGTATTCATATTCAAATCTGATGCACATAAATTTTTTTCACTACAATAATTGCATTTCCAACCTCTGTGACCACCTTTTTGTTGATAGATTTCTGTAAAATGATCATTCCAAAGTGGATTTTTAGGTCATCCTCTTTTTTTTTTTTACTTATACTAACACTATGGCCTAATTCTTCAGTTTCTAGTAGTGAATTCACTGTACTAGGACCTGAATCTTCCATTATTCAGATCTTTAAACGAAAATTATTTAATATTTATATTATTAATGCTAGAATAAACTTATATCATTACCAAAGATTTTTTAATTATTACGATTATATATATATATTTATATGATAGAAGAATTACAGGTTTGTCATAAATAATTAATTGTATTTGAGTAGTATATTTAATTAGAATTGGTAATCTGCTCTATACTAAATAATCTTTTATATCATTATTGTTATGCAATGTAATTTAGTAAGCTCACAAGAGAACAAAATTCCTGTTAGATATTTTTTAAAAACTCGTTAAAAAATCTATTCGATCTATAAAGGTAGTATTTAAATTATGGTATATACATACATATGTATGCATATATCAAATAGCAACTTTATTTTTTTAAGAATGATTTAAATTTGATCAATTATTTTAGCGACACCATATAATATTTTTTTATTATTCTAATTTACAGAAATAATTTCAAGATATCAATATTGGCATTCAAGTTACAGTATGCACTTATATACATATATATCAGGTAATAAGCATACTAAGAACAATTAACTTTGATCTAATTTATGAAGAAATAATGTACTTATATCAGGTAATAACTTTATTTCTTAAGGATGCTAAGAACGAATTAAATTTTATCAATTATGTATTTGAGAAATCATATGATAATATTTATTGTTAAAATCTAGGAAAAGATAATTATAAGAGGATATTCAATATCAAATTCAGTTACTTGTAAGTCGAGAAAATTGTTGGCATTCAAGTTATGGTACATATTAAGTAATAACTTTATACCAGGAACATAGTAAAACAAAACGTTATATAATTATTGAAATTCTGGTTAGATTGAACATTTATTCTTGATCTCATGATCCAGATCGAATCAGTTTAACATCCTTATCTGTGGTTTTTATCTGTAATGATGATTTAATTCAGTTAATGATCATGATAACCATACATTTGGATTAGTGTATTGTTTTCTGATATACAAAAAGTAAAAGAATACAATATTGAATACTGTATGCTTAGAAATTCGTATTATAAAACATTACATCAATCTATCAGATTTATCGTGAGACAAAAATAAATCCTTATACTAGCTTTTCTGGTTAATTTATTGTGACTGTGCGTGTGCGTCAGTAGCTTCTAGATCTGAAAAATAGATCTTACCTTGCCATTTTGGCAATTAATTTAAGGGTATTTTATGATTATTGAAGTGCATTCAAATCTGGTATATTTTATGAATATCACGCTACTTTGTGAAATTTATTCTAAAAAAGGTTATGGTTATTTATTAGTTTTTCTAGACTGATTGTTAAATATACGTATTTATGTGCGTACATACGCACAATACCGATTGAGAAATATACATATTTAATTAATGTATGTTAATACTTTTAATATTGGTTAGATTCCATATAAAGAAATAAGATCCAAATGAACATAATCAAATTTTACGAATTATTCACAATCACATAATTACTAATCAAATAATAAATTTACAATAAACCGGTATGAATATAAATTCTGATCCTTGATCGCTCATCATAATAAAAAAATTTGTTTATCATTAAAACATCAATTCAATAAATTATCGAATATACGTTCCTGGTGTCGCGTGACAGCATCGTGCAGTACCTTATTTATTAAGCAACGAATAAAAATTAAATGATTATTTAAATAACAGGTTTTTATCAAGACTTTTAAGGAATATAACATTTATAGCAAAAGATCACCTGATTATAATCAAAAATTTTTAATACGAAGATACTCTTGAAAACAATCTTTTAACGTTTATATTAAATAAAAATTTTTGGTAAAAGTGACAATAAAATGATTATGAATAAATGGAGCAATAAATTTGATAAAGCTTTTTAAATACAATAATATCGACA